GAAGGACCAGAGACGGGGATGCAGGCCACAGACTCCAATGGCCGTGTGCGTGCTGTAGGTCCTGGTAAGGGCTAAGAGCTCCTCATGGGTGGGGGCCTCCAGCTCTGGCTCGTCATCGCACCAACCAAAATCAGGCTCTGGGAAAACTTGGCCGACACCCCAATGCTGATGCCACTTTTGAGCCCGAAGATCGGCTTCAGCAGCAATCCCCAGAGGCTCACCAGACGGCCCCGAGAAACAAGAGAGCCCAGATGCAGCCCACTTCGGAACCTCTTTGGTGAACCGGTGGCCCAGTCGAGCGCTCCCAGATAAAGCATCTTGAACCCACTCACGCCAGGCTCGGGCCCGCTCAGAGGCCGCATGATGCTCGTGCTGAAGGGCCCACTTGCGGACCTGCCAGATCAACTCCTGGAGCTCCGAGACGTTGGCAGGGTTGACGGCCAGAACCCGAACTCGCCAAGAAGCCCAATGCTTGCAATCGGTGTAGGGGGACTGGTAGTTCACGAGCTTCCGCAAGAGGATCCCCGCTTGTTTTATCCCCCCCAAGGTGGGCGCAGGCCCATGCCAGAGAAACACGATGTCCTGGAGTCGCCTTTCCAAGACACGCCACATACGGCCCTCCCCAATAGCCCTGGGATGAGTGGAGGCTGGGGGGCCGAGCAGAGGGACTTGCACCACCTTGGGGGGGCCTCCTCGGCCTCGGCACCGTGGATCCCCATCGACATGAAATACGCGAGATAGCGCCACCTCAGCCCTTTGAACCCACAGAGAAGTGACAGCATCCAAACGGTCCTTGGTACAATCCCCCTGGGAGAGCTGATCACGCAAGTCATCCCACTCCAGGGGGCGAGGGTCGCACCCAACAGGGCGGTGGAGAGGGAACGCCGACGGCTTCTTGAGCCTGGGAACTGTCACCTGTCGCGGGTGGCCAGACATGCTCAACACCACAGGGCGGTGCGGTCTGGTACAGGTAGACCATGTCGCAACTGAGCAGCTCACCACAAACTGCTTGAGCGAGGAGGAGAGGACAAAGTAATCGATGGACGACCGAGACGTACCCAACTGACAGGTCCAATTCGATACGTCAGAGACCACCTCAGCCTGAAGATCCCCAATCCAACCAGACTCGACCAGTTGCTCCGCTGAAAACTGAAAATCTCCACCCAGAATAAACGGCATGCCATACGCCCTCAGGACCTCCCCAATACTATGCAGCAAGGAAAGATTTTGACCGCGGCAACCGATTCCAGTGTGCAGGTAGACCGATCCGACTAAAACACCTCCAGTACATAACCCACTCCAGAGCCCCAGACGAAATCGACATCCAGGAGGAACCGCGATACCCTCAGGCAAATCATCGAGTCCTTTGAGGCCCCAGAGCTTCGAAGTCGCAATGCCAACTCCTCCAGTGGTGCCAGCCTCTGAACGACCTGAGGGGGCAGCAGGAGCGAGGAGCGAGACCATGCCAGCCTTGACCAGCGCCTGCTGAACGTCCACCAAACGTAGCTCCGTCTGGTGGTGCTCTTGGAAAACGTAGATGTCGGCATCCACAGAGTCGCAGAGCTCCAGGAAGGGCCTTCGCGTGACCTTACCCCTGTCCCCGCACTCGATGCCCCACGAGGTGATGTTGGCCGTGCACAGCTTCCATACCTCAGGACGACGGGCCGCCTCAGGCCGCCGAGCGACACGGGCAGAAGGCTCCATGACCTTCGAGCCCGTCCCAGCAGAAGGAGGCGGCGCCCGAGGGTCTGCTGGCCCAGGAACCTGAGCATCGGATCCAGCAGCCCCAGCAGCCCCAGCCCGCGCCGCCAGGGAGCGCCACCTGCCTCGGTGTGAGGCGGGCGCAGGCAGGCGGCGTCCAACAGCTGCAGCGCCGACCCCGCTACCCCGACGGGGGTGGGGCACCAGCGACATCGCGGTCAGCAGGCATAGGAACATCAGCAGGAACATCAGCAGCCGCAGGGCCAGGCGCGGCCGAGGGGGCCGCCGCCGCCGCAGCCTCTGGGCCTGGCGCGTCCCTCCTGGGCCTCTTGCTGAGGGCTGAAGGGTTCTGCAGGAACTCGAGCATGGTCCTGTAGAGACCTTCGTACTGCCCTGCCTGTCCGCCCTCCAGCAACTCAGTAAGCTGCTGCTTGCAATCCTCCGCCACGCGTGAGTCCGAGGGTGCCACTGGGCCTGGCGAAGGGCCGCTGCCCGACATGGCACGCTGCGCGGCCTCCTCGGCCTGTGCCTTCCGCCGTGCTTCCTCCTGCTCCTGGAAAGAGGCCCCAGCAGCAGCCAGGTCGCCCAGGAGGTCCACCGCGGTGCGGAGCTGGTCCGCCTTCGCCACTCTGAACGACTCGGGCAGATGGCCGAACAACGTCTCCACCAGACCGTTGACAGCCGCCTTGCAGTCATCGCCAGCAGGGTGAAGAGCAGCACGTCGATGGAGCCTCTGGAGCTCCTCCTCTTCCTTCTTGACCGATTCCGCCAGAGCCGCCTGGGATGCGACGCAGTCCTCCAGGTCCTGCTCCAGCTCCGTGATCTGTTGACGGAGGTTGGCCTCCGTCGCCTTAGACGCAGTAAGCTGGCCCTGGAAGTGGGCCAGCTTGTCCTGATGGGACCGAACTCGCATCCATGGTGGTGGGCCACGTTCGTCAGGCTGAGCAGCAGCAGCGGAGGGCACCTGAGCCTTGGCGGCCACCATGAGCGGGTGGTCGTCTGCCAGCCCAGCAAGCGTGAGCTGCTCCACTGCAGCCGCGAGGTAGTCGCGCTGCGTCTGCTTGCCACCTGTGTCCGAGCCTTTGCCACTGCGCTGCTGGGCCGAGCCGCCCTTCCCACTCCCAGACTGGGACTGGTCAGCACTCGTGCCTGGGCCCGACTTGGCCTTGCGGCGCGTGGACTCCACCTGTTGCCATGCATCCTTGGACTGCTGCTCGCCTGACCAAGGACGGGGGGGCCCCTTGACCGTGTCCCGAACCGGGTCGTCGCGGAGCCACTTCTTGCAACGATAGCAGCGAGCCCAATCCACCAGATTATACTGATAGCCACATGAGCTCTTGCCATAGCACGTCTTGTAGCCGCTCTGGGAGCGGGTCTGGTGTCTGCTCTGGGAGCGGGGCTGCGGGGGCGCGGGGACCATGCCACAGCAGCTCGAGAGCAGGAGAAGCCAAAATCCCTCGTCTGGCCTGGCAGACGAGGAGGAGCACTGTGGGGGCCGCTGCTCCCCCCTTGCCAGTGAGGCCAGGTCCTGACCCGAAAGGGCTACGGACCTTGAGCCAAAATGGCTACGGAGATGATGATGATGATGCTGATGATGATGATGATGGTGAGGAGGAGGAGGAGGAGGAGGAGGAGGAGGACAGTTGGCGGAGCAGGAGGATGAGTTGGAGGAGGAGGAGGAGGTGGAACTGGAGGAGGTGCAGGAGGAGGAGGAGGAGGAGGAGGAGGAGGACACTTCATTTTCATACTCACAGATTCAGAAGGAGGATGAGGGATAGGGAATAGGATGAGGATGATGATGATGATGATGATGATGATGATGATGATGATGATGATGATGATGATGATGAGAAGGATGAGGATGAGGATGATGCTGATGCTGCTGATGATGGTGATGATGATGCTGCTGATGATGATGGTGGTGATTGTGATGGTGGTGATGCTGCTGCTGATGACGACGCTGCTGATGCTGCTGATGAGGATATGTATGTTGATGATGATGCTGCTGATGATGAAACGGGTGATGGCTGTGGTGGTGTTGATGATGATGTTTTCGCTGCTGATGACGATGACGATGATCATGATGGTGATGATGATGATGATGATGATGATGATGATGATGATGAGGATGATGATGCTGATGATGATGATGATGATGATGATACTGATGGGGAGGATGATGATGATGCGGATGCTGATGCTGATGCTGATGCTGATGATGATGACGATGACGATGACGATGAGGATGATGATGCTGATGAGGATGATGCTGATAAGAAAGCTGATGATGACGATGATGCTGATGATGATGATGATGATGATGCCGATGATGATGCTGCTGATGATAATGATGGCGCTGATGATGATAATGATGATGATGCTGCTGATGATGCTGATGATGATGCTGATGTTGATGATGATGCTGATGAAGATGCTGATGACGATGAGGATGATGAGGCTGATGAGGATGATGCTGATGCTGATGCTGATGCTGATGGGGATGATGACGATGATGATGCATCTGCTGATGATTATGATGCTGCTGATGATGATGACGACGACGACGATGATGATGATGATGATGATGGTGATGGTGATGGTGATGGTGATGGTGATGATGGTGATGGTGATGATGATGATGATGGTGGTGGTGATGATGATGATGATGATGATGGTAATGATGATGATGATGATGATGATGATGATGATGATGATGATGATGATGATGATGATGATGATGATGATGATGTGATGATGATGCTGATGATGATGATGATGATGAGGAGGAGGAGGAGGGAGGAGGAGGAGGAGGAATGAGGAAGAGGAATCATACTAGGAGGAGGAAGAGACGCTGGAGGAGGAATAGGAGGAGAGGGAGGAGGAGGAGAAGGAGGAGGAGGAGCAGGAGGAGGAGGAGGAGGACGAGGAGCAGGAGGAGCAGGAGGAGGAGGAGGAGGAGGAGGAGGAGGAGGAGGCGGACCAGGAGGACGAGGAGGAGGACGAGGAGCAGGAGGAGCAGGAGCCGAATGAGGAGCAGGAGGAGGAGGATTACGAGGAGCAGGAGGAGGAGGAGCAGGATGAGGAGCAGGAGGAGAGGGAGGACAATTCCTCTTTATGGTGGCATAGCCAGGAGGAGGAGCAGGAGGAGGAGGAGGAGGACGAGGAGGAGGAGGAAGAGGTGGAGGAGGAGGAGCACGGGGAGGAGGTGGACGGGGAGGAGGAGGTGGATGAGGAGGTGGAGGAGGGAAAACGAAAACAAAGCGAAGACGGAACGCGCTGCTCAGCTCGCGCCTCGGGAGGTGACGAGGCGCTCTCCTGACGACCGCCTCGGCCTGTCCCTCGGCCTCGACCGGCGCCGCGGCGCGCTGAAGATCTGCGGCTTCGTGCCCGGCGGCGCCTGCGAGGGCGTCGAGCTCCGGGCTGGGGACGTCTAGCCTCGAAGACGAAACAAACGGCATAAACATAAACATTTTTTGGGCTCCGCGCGGATTTCTTGGGTCGGCGCTTGGCCCCCCTGGCGGCGCTTCCGGCGCCGCCCCTGTCGCGCTCCGCGCGCCAGGGAGGGGGGTCCAGCTCAGATCCAAGAAGTCCGCGCGGAGCGCCAAAAGTTTATGCTTATGCCGTTCTTTGTTCCTCTATAGCCCTCCCTCTGGGCCCCAGTCTAGGCCCTGAGTCATACAAGAAAATCATGGCGAGAGGTTCTTCTTCATTTTCTGCTTCCGAGGGCCTTCACTGGGCCTCGAGGCCGACAAGAAACGTCTCGCCCAGGGAATGGGTCGAGACCTCTGGAGGCCGACGTCATGAAACAATCAGAGCTTTCTAGTCGGAGGAGGAAACGGTACGCACACCGCTACCCGTGGCCTCGTTTTCCCCTTGATAGGCCTCCTGGGAGGCCCTCGTCGCCACGGCTGTGGGCTGGGGACTTTAGTCGGGGCACAAACAATGACACAACATAAAAAATTCGAGGTCCGCGCGGGTTTCTCGGATCGGTGCGTGGAACCCCTGGCGTCGCTTCCGGCGCCGCCTCTGGCGCGCTCCGCGCACCAGGGAGGGAGGTCCAGCGTAGATCCAAGAAATCCACATGGACGCCGACCTTTTATGTTTATGCCGTTTTGCCTTTTTGGGCCTCCTGGGAGGCCCTCGTCGCCACCGCTGGATTCGCTTGGAAGTTTTGTTCAGATCGCACCCTGGGAGAGGTCCAGGGAGCAGCGGTATCGGTACCTCTTGGTTTCCCCATCTAGGCCTTCCAGATTGGGTCCGAATCGACAGGTCGGAGGATCGCGCCGCATCGTCGATGCATTGGCAATGCGGCTCGATGGAAAGTCCCATTTTCCCGACACCGACGTCACCGATGCATCGCAGACGTCACCGATGCATCGCCGATGTATAGCCGATGCATCGCCGATACATCGCCGATGCATTGGCGCGGCGCGACCCTCCGACCCCATCTGCTCGGACCCCATGAAGAAGGCCTCTAGGACTCGATCCTGGCCGCCAACGGTGTCTCTGGCGACATCGAGGCGATGTTGAGCCAGGTGTTCGCGGGAAGGAGAATCGCTGCCACCACCACCAGCGGGTCACCTCCAGCGAGGAGGCCCACGATGCCTCCCCGAGCTAGCTATAGGTCGGGGGCTCCCAAGCGGTGTGGTGACCATGCCGTGTGCTGGGTCAGTGGGGATTCGGGGTCATCGCACGGTCTTGGGACTCGGGTCGTTCTCCGAGGATGTCTCGGACGACCCGGGCCTCCAGGGTCCCGAAACGGTGTGATAACGGATCGTGCGGTGAGGTCGTCTGGACACGGTGTGTCACCACACCTTTCTTGGACCCTTAATTGAGCGATGGAAGAAAGCGGGGTCGACTGCGCCGACAATCCGCCGCGCGTAAGCGCTCTCGTCTCCAGTGCAGCGTACCGCGCTGGAGGCCCACGTAGGCCGCGGCGCAAGGTCGCTACAGTCGGGGCGCTGAAGGAATACCTTTTTTCGTTGTGGAGGGGCTCCGTGTTCCTCACTAGTTTCGCAGTTTGCCTCAGGTTTTCCTCAGGTTTTCGATGGGACATCGACGTTCAAATTCTGGAGAAAAGGGGCCTCGTCCCTTCTGTATGGTTCCTTCGGTCAGCTGCCCGACTGTATGTCATCGCGCGCAAGACCCCTTTTCTCTTCGTCGCTCGCCTGGGGGCAGCCTGACTCAGGACCCCGTCTCTGCACCAGAGTGGTTTCGGCGTCACCCCAAACTACTAATACTAGATGTGCGTCGCCCCCCCTCGGGGGGTGATGCGCGCACCGAGAAATCTTATAGTCGTGGCGGGCGCATTCTGGCCACACCGCTCGGGAAACGATATTCTACAATATGGTTATACTATATGTTCGGGTCTGACGCGCGCCTCCAAGGAGGACATATAGTATTAGTATGTCTCTGTGTCCCATGATTCGGTGGGATACACCTGCTGCAGAGGCCCCCTATCCCTGCTGGTTTGTTTGGGTTTCTTAACTCAGGTCTGCTCCCCTCCTCCTCCTTCTCCTCCCCTCCTCCTCTTCCTCCTCCTCCTCCTCCTCCTCCTCCTCCTCCTCCTCCTCCTCCTCCCTCCTCCTCCTCCTCCTCCTCCCCCCTCCCCCTCCTCCTCCCCCTCCTCCTCCTTATCCTCGCCCTCCTCCTCCTCCTCCTCCTCCTCCTCCTCCTCCTCCGCCTTCTGTCCTCGAACCGCTGAGCACTCCCTTGCTCCCAGGTGTGCGGCGGCGGCCGCCCGCTCGTGCTCGAGGTCGAGCGGCCGGTGCTCGACGCCGCCGCGGGGCCCGGGCCCGCGGGCAATCTCGGAGGCGCAGGGGTTGGCACAAAAGCTGACGGGGCGCGATCGCCATGGGTCCTTCTCCTCCTCCTCCTCCTCCTCCTCCTCCTCCTCCTCCTCCTCCTCTCCTCCTCCTCCTCCTCCCCTCCTCCTCCTCCTCCTCCTCCTCCTCCTCCTCCTCCTCCTCCTCCTCCTCCTCCTCCTCCTCCTCCTCCTCCTCCTCCTCTCCCTCCTTCTCCGCCTCTCTCCTCCTCCTCCTCCTCCTCCTCCTCCTCCTCCTCCTCCACTCACTGCTCTTCCTCCTCCTCGTCCTCCTCCTCCTCCTCCTCCACTCACTGCTCTTCCTTCTCCTCCGCCTCCTCCTCTTCCGCCTCCTCCGCCGCCGCCTCCTGGCGCGATCGCCATGGCCGAATAAACAACTACATAGACAGACTTTTGGCGCTCCGCGCGGATTTCTTGGATCGGCGCTGGGCCCCCCTGGCGGCGCCTCGGGCGCCGCCCCTGGCGCGCTCCGCGCGCCGTCGAGGGGGGTTGGCGCGGATCCAAGAAATCCGCGCGGATCTCCAACAGTTTATGTTTATGTGATTTTCTGTTCCTCTAGAGGAGGAACGAGTACCGATCCCGCTACCCTTTGACTCGTTTTCGCCATGCTGGGCCTCCTGGGAGGCCCTTGTTCCCACCGCCGGATTGGCTTCGAGATCCTGGTCAGAAAGCACCCCAGGAGAGGTCCATAGAGTCGCAGTATCGGTACTCTTATGTACTCTTTGGCTTCTCCAAAGCACTTCGACAGGGAGATCGACTGCAGAGCTGATGTACCCCCAGATTGAAGTATTCGTTGAATCTGCGAACGCAGACAGTAATCTGTATACTCGAGGAAACACTATCAATCCTGATTTACATCAATTTTGTAGTCGATCTCCTACTCGAGCACTGGTATGGGCTACACGTAAGGGTGACCTTTCGCCAGAGTGGCCGTTGGTGCGGACAGACTGGGGTCCCCAGAGGACTGCACGCGGTGCGATAGCAGCGTCTTGCACGCTCGGGTTTGGCTTTTCCGCGGCCCCGAAAGTCGCACACCAAACGTCACTCTTGTCTAGGGTTATCCTTTCGTGTAGCCGATGGTAAGGCTTCGGGATGCGCACAGACAGCCTCCCCAGGTAGTCTCTGCTGGCCTCAGCATGCCCTCCGAGTAGTCCCAGCTGGCCTCAACAGGCCCCCCCCCAGTAGTCTGGGGCGGAGTCAACTCCCTGGCGCCGCCTCTGGCAGCGCCCCTGGGGCGCTCCGCGCCCTAGGGTTGAGGTGTTGAGACCGCCCCGGCGTCCTCGGAGTACTCGGGGGGCCTGTTGAGGCCAGCTGGGACTATCCGGGTGGTCTGAGGCCAACCAGGACTACCTGGGGAGGCTGTCTGTGCGCAGCCCGGCGCCTTACCGACCAACACCAAATATCGGCGGCCGCTTCCACCGAGGGAAGATGATCCCGATCTGGGTAATTTTGATATTTCAGAGGAGGGCGAGTAGACAGCGGTCGTTGATACATGGATGTTTTGATTGAGTAGTGTTTTGGATGTCTCTTCATACCCAGGTCTGCCAGAGCGGAACGTGAGAGTAAAGAATTGCTATTTCGGTGCCTTCCAGCCCGATCGCGCCGACTTAAGCGCTGGCTGGCGGGATTCCAGCTCGGGGCTAGATGAGCCAAGGCACCTTGAGCCTTTGGGGGGGCCCTCGACGCCACGGCTGGACGCAGCTCGGACAACTTGTGCGCTTGGATCCAGAGAGGGGTCTGGGGGCCGATTTTGAGCCACCGTTACCTGAAGTCGCCCTGCTCCGAGTAATGTTCGGGCTTTCTAGTTCGCCAGAAGATTACCACCAGCACCGAGATCTGGGATCATCTTCCCCTGGTGGAGGCACCCCCCTGACTTGGTCGGGCGTTGCGTAATGGGGGGGGCGATACACTGGGGGTGGCGCCTTAGGGGCTCCAAAGGGGCCCCCAGGGGGCCCCAAAGGTGACCAACGGTGCACGTTTCTCCGCCCCTGGTTCCTCGCCCCCCCATTACCCAGACAATCCGACGTCTTGCTTTTTGCAATGCGCGGTCCCCAGAAGTCCCGACCCGTTCCCCGGGGCGCGGCTTTTCGACCCGATTCGTTTTTTGACGCTCCCTTGCCTTGCGAGGGCCCCCCCAGAGGCCGGAAACTGAGAAGCACCTTTTTCCTGATCTGCTCAACACGCTGGAGGTTTGGTTAAGCAACGCCCAAGCTGGTGTTGTCTAGGTCTTCCAGATGGGGTCCGGGTGGATGTGGTCGGAGGATCGCGCCGCATCGCCGATGCATCGCCGAAACATCGCCGATGCATCGGCGACGTGTGCGATGCATCGGCGACGTCGGCGTGAAGAAAGTTGGGCTCCAGATCGAGCCGCACCACCGATGCATCGGCGATGCGGCTCGAACCTCCGACTCCATCTGCTCGGACCCCATTTGGGAGGCCTCGATGGGGAAACCAACATGTACTGATACCGCTACTCCGATCTCTCCCAGGGTGCTTTCTGACCAGAGTTTCGAGGCGAATCCAGCGGTGGCGACGAGGGCCTCCCAGGAGGCCCAACAGGGCGGAAACGAGTCAAGGGGTAGCAGCATCGGTACCAGAGAAACAAGAACCGGCATAACCATAAACCGTCGCCGCTCCGTAATGATTTCTGGGATCTGCGCTGGACCCCTCACGGGGTGCGTTTTCGACCAGCATTTCGAGGCGACTCCAGCGGCAGCTACGAAGGCCTCCCAGGAGGCCCAGTGCTCGGACCCCCTCAGGGAGGCCCCTGTGCTGGCGCCGCGTTCTGAGCCTCTCCGCCCCTGCTTGTCGCCCCCACCGTTGCCCAGGCATCTCCTCCTCCTCCTGCTCCCTCTCCTCCTGCTCCTCCTCCTCCTCCTCCTCGTCCTTCTCCTCCTCCTCCTCCTCCTCCTCCTCCTCCTCCACCTCCTCCTCCTCCTCCTCCTCCTCCTCCTCCTCCTCCTCCTCCTCTCCTCCTCCTCCCCCCCTCCTCCTCCTCCTCCTCCTCCTCCTCCTCCTCCTCCTCCTCCTCCTCCTCCTCCTCCTCCTCCAACGCCCAAGGTGGTGTGGGTGTCAATTTCCAAGCCTCTGGCACGTCACTGTGCGGCACGGCACAACAACACAGCCCCTGGCGCAGTATCATCACCAGCGATATCTTCGGCACTGCCACTTCCCATCGCCCGATGGAGGTTCTGAGAAACGCTTCCATGCCTCGCAGTTCTCAATCCCTTTCCGGGTTCGTGGGTCAATCATGCAGTTGTGGCCCATGCTAAGAAACACCCTGCTTGCCTCCAGGGTGCCCAGGGTTTCTTGGGTTTCGATGGTTTTGCGATGGAAAGCGTGTCGCTCCCAAACCAAACAAATCCATGGACGACCTGGGGTCTCAGGGCCAGGTTTCTTGCGGAAGGTTTCTTGTGGTTGAGCCCCCACTGTGTTCCGAGCCTCTCCGCCCTTGCTTGTCGCCCCGACCGTTGCCCAGAGATCTCCTCCCCCTCCTCCTCCTCCTCCCCCTTCTCCTCCTCCTCGCCCTCCTCCTCCTCCTCCGCCTCCTCCTCCTCTTCATCCATTCCTTTTCCTTCTAACTAACTTCTGCCTGTCGCACCCGTTTCGCCTGAGACTTCCTCACCATTTATGATTATGAAGTTTAAAATGGCAACCGTTTCACATATTGAGAGCGGGCAGTTTTCAAAATGCGGCTCTCGCCTTAGCGCCGCGCAGATTCGTTTTTGATATGTTGCAAGGGTTTCACGGATTGAGGGCGGGTCGTTTTCAATATGTGGCCCTCGCCTTAGCGCCACGCTCATTCGTTGTTTGTTTGTTTGTTTGTTTGTTTGTTTGTTTGTGTTGCTTTATATACATATATGGGGGATTCCGACCCGGGGGACCCGCAGGGCCCCCCCCTTGTACATAGGTAGTGCCCCCCTTCCCAGGAGCCCTCCGGGACCCGCCCCCGAGGCTCAGAGCAGCCCTAAATCCGCCCAAGATTGTTTACAGATGGCCCAAGAGCTCTCCAAGACGCACCAAGAGGACCCCAAGAGCGCTCCAAGACGGCCCAGGAGGTCCCCAAGGGTGCCCGAGAGGCTTCCGAAACGGTCCTCGAGAAATTCGAATCTTTCACAAACCAGCGGGAAATCTATATTTTTGGCCTCAGAGGCCCTCAAGACGGCCCAAGAGGCCTCCCAGAAGGTCACCAAAAGACATAAACAGCCAAATTCCTTTTCGGAAAACGTACGTTTTCAGCATATTCGCTTCTTCGGTCCTAACAGCGCCCAAGGCGGACCCAAAGGCTCCCAAGACGGCCGTAAGACGACCCAAGAGGCCCCCAAGAGGGCCCCAAGACGGCCCAAGAGAGCTCCAACACGGCCCATGAGAGCCCCCCGACGGCCCACGACGGTCCCCAGAGGTTCCCAAAAGAGTCCCCAGGGAGCCCCAAGAGGGCCACAGAAGGCACCCTCGACGGCCCAAGAGGGCCCCAAGAGGGCCCCAAGACGGCCCAAGCGCCCAAGACGGTCCTAGAGGGCCCCAGGACGGGCCAAGAGGGCCCCAAAGAGCCCCAAAGAGCCCCAAAAGGACCCCGAAGAAGGTCCCAAGAGGCCCCCAGAGACTCCCAGAACGTTCCCAAAACGGTCCCAGGAGGCTTCCCAGTAGTCACCCGTCCTCTTGGGCTCTTCCCAGGGCGGCTCGTCCCTGGGATCTCTGAGTTCTGTGACGCCTCGGACTCTCTCGGTCTTTTGTCTTATCGTGCATTGTATTGCATTGCATTCCATTGGGCTGCTTTCCGTTGCATGTGCAAGTGCATTGTTTCGTGATACACATTGCACTTATGAGCATCGCTTTCCTTTGCTTTGCATTGCATTCATAGCCTTGCATGTGTTTGGCTAAACTGGCTTGCATAGCTTCGAATTGAAGACTGGAGAGGCCTTACAGCCGGTGCCGCCGACCCTGAACGACGACGGCGGCGACGACGACGACGACGGCCAAGGGGGGTCGCTCCCCCCTGTGGAGGGGGGGACTGGCCCGTGGGGGGGGGCTCCCTCCTGTGGACAGGGGGAGCATGGGACGCTTGGAAGGGGGGGGCAAAGCGGGGACGCTGGGGGAAAGACCCTCCGCCACATTTTCGGGATCGGCAAAACAATAACAGGAGCCCCACGGGCCCCAGCCCCAGGGCACCCCCTGGGACCACCCCCCAGGACCACCCCCCGAGACTACCCGCCGGGACCACCCCCCGGGAGTTGCCCCGGGACCCCCCCCGCTGGGGAAGGGATCAAGGGAAGGTGCTTCCCTTCGTTGTTCGATTCGATTTCGTATTGGCTGGATCGGTTGAGGAAGAGGGCCCGGGGAAAGGGGGAAGATGGCGAGGGCGACGACGACGACAACGACGACGGCGACGGCGACGACGACACCGACGACGACAAACGGAAGAGCGCCTCACACACGCCGACAGGGTCGGCGGATTAAGGAGCATATGTCATTGTCGGTGCTTAGGTTCTGTTCGGCCAGCATTATGGATGCTTCTTGTACCTCATGCTTACACCATCAATGGGTAATCACTTCAGTGGATACGGGACCTCCTCAAGGGATGGGGTCGGCTAGAACCTAAGCGCGCGCGAAGCGCGCGCGTGGTTCTAGTTATCTATATATATATAATTATATATGTATGCAATCAGAGTTTCACGGACCGAGGGCGCTTCCTTTTCACGATGTGGCTCTCGCCTTAGCGCCGCGCACATTCGTTTTACAGATTCGCTCGAGTTTCACAGAGCCCCATGATCAACGTACCAGAAATGGTGTTTTGGAAGGATTCAGGATTATGCGGGCGAAACAGTTATGTTGATTCGTGGTGCTCAAGTCCCTCAAATGGCGTTTTGCGCGATTCCACATCGCCAGGACGCAGCAGTCAGGTTGATCCGTGGCGTGGAAATCCCGAGAACAATGTTTTCGCATGCTTCAAGGTCTTCACACGGTTATCTTTCAACGAGGCAGTTCCCTCAATGGAAACGAGCCGTTGCAGAGGCTTGTGAAAGGGGAGCTTGAAGGAAGGGTTAATTCCAACATCGTTGAGGACTCTTGGGTTTACACTGGTCCTCCTCCTCCTCCTCCTCCTCCTCCTCCTCCTCCTCCTCCCCCTCCTCCTCCTCTTCCTCCTCCTCCTCCTCCTCCTCTTCTCCTCCTCCTCCTCCTCCTCGTCCTCCCCTCCTCCTTCCTCTCCTCCTCCTCCTCCTCCTCCTCCTCCTCCTCCTCCTCCTCCTCCTCCTCCTCCTCTCCCTCCTCCTCCTCCTCCTCCCCCCCCGCCTCATCCTCCTCCTTCTCCTTCTCCTCCTCCTCCTCCTCCTCCTCCTCCTTCTCCTTCTCCTCCTCTCCTCCTCCTCCCTCCTCCTCCTCCTCCTCCTCCTCCTCCTCCTCCTCCTCCTCCTCCCCCTCCTCATCCTCCTCCTCCTCCTCCTCCTCCTCCTCCTCCCCCCCCCTCCTCCAACGCCAAGGTGGTGTGGGCGCCACTCTCGAGGCCTCGGGCGCCCGCGAGCCCGTGGACCTGGAGCGCGGCGCGGCGCCGCCGCGCCCGGCGGTGCCCCCGCCGCTGGCCCCCGCGGGGGCTACGGCCCCCGCGGCCGAGGCTTGGGCGCCAGCGCGGCCCCCGGCGGACAGCGACAGGACGCCGTCTAGCCGGGTCGGACGCAGGGCTTATTTCGGCTCCTCCTATTCGATTCGATTCGATTCCGATGGGCTCCGACTCCGATTCGATTCGACTTTGGATTCCGATTTGGGTTCCGATTTCTCAGTGAGGCCCCACTACTCTGCCGATTTCTGCCGATTCGACTCCTCCCGACTTGGCTGCCGATCTTCGCCGATCCGATTCACGTCGATCGCCGATCCGACTTCTCGATTCGATTTTGGGCTCTCCTGGGACGAGAGGGGGTCATCCCAGACCTTCGGGGAACGAGCATTGACATAAACATAACAACTCGGAGGTCCGCGCGGACCTCCGAGTTGTGATGTTTCTGTCATCCTTCGTTCCCCCAGACCTACTCACCCAGACCCCGCCCCGGGCACTGAAGAAATCACGGCAGGAGTTTTTTTGGTTGTTTTCGGCCACCCCCTCGCCAGCCCTCGGGACCGTCAGAAAACGACTCGGGATGAGGAGCCAGTCCTGGGGAAGGGGTCGAGACCTCTGGGGGTCGACGCCATGAAAAAATCATGGCGTCGGGGGTCTGGGCATGTCCCTCTACAGGAGGAGTATTCAAAAATAGTCACGCAATGGCCGTTTGGGAGTATTTTTGAATATTTTTCATTCTTCTTCCTGTAGGAAAGCATGCCCGACCTAAGACGAAGGGGGGGTCACCCCATACCTACGCATGACTAGGCCACAGAAGGGGGCCGAGGACCCCCTCAGTCGACGAAGAAACAACGCCATAAACAAACTTTTGGCGCTTCGCGCGGATTTGGTGGATCCGCGCTGGCCCCCCCGGAGGCGCCTCTGGCGCCAAGAGGGGTCCATCTCAGATCCAAGAAATCCGAGCAGACCGTCAAAACTTTATGCTTATGCTGTTTTTTGCTTTACTGACGGCGTCAACAGCCGTAGGAGTGGGCCGAGGACTCCTCCATAGGGACCCTCGGCCAACGAAGACGTCCTTATAGAGGAGGGCTCAACGCACCGCTACACCTTGCTACAACTTTCCAGTCTGGCGTGCAGTGCCACCCAGGCGGTTTTCCTCCTCGGGTCGTGGCAGACATCGTTCCGGGGGGGGGGGGGGGGGGGCACATTTCGGCCTCTGGAGGCCACCGCCGGGCCTCGGGGCCGTCAAATTATGACTCAGAATGAGAAGGCGGTCGCGGGGAACGGGTGGACACGTCTGGGGGTCCACATCATGAAAAAAGCAACGGTTTCGGTGGTTTGCTGGGATCGGCTCGGGGGTTGCTAAAGGGGGTAGGGGGGTTATCACTTGATGCCAAGGTGGGCTATATCTGGCCTCACCTAGCTTACCAGTGGTGGCTTAGGGGGGTCAGCGATCTGGGCAGTAGTCTCCGCCCACTCAGCGGAATTATATAATCCCCCTGAGCCACTTGAGCCACTTGGGGCATGTGTAACCCGTTGGTATGCCAGGTTCGGATAGATATTATTGACCTTGGCATCCAGTAGTAGCCCCCGTATCCCCTAAGCACGACCTGCGCCCATCCCAGCAGCGAAGGTGGGCTTAGTGGGCCCTGCAAACAACGGCCATTTTGTTCGTTCACTGTTTTCGTTTTTCCGTATCCCTTCAGTTTCTGGCGCCATGGTTTTTTGATGTTTCTGGCGACGTTGTTGTACTGTTCCCGTTTCCCCTGGTGGGGGCCTGGTCCAGATTTCAGGTTTTGTTGCCGGATCGAGGGCCCACAGCAAAAGTCAGGTGGGGTGCGACAGCTGCTGCATGGAGCCGGTTTCGCCCCCGCCGCTGGGCGCCTTTCCTCGATACATTGTTTTTATCGGCGCTGGGAGGCGCTGGGAAAACCAGCTGCCAGAGCCGATTCGCCAACCCCCCTTTTTGCTGAAACTCCCTTTCGTCCGACCCGAGCCCAGAACGCCCGCGCGGTCATCCTCGGACAACGACAGGACGCCGTCCAGGACCCTGCCTCAGAGGAGGGAAATATACCGATACACCGATACGTACTGCTGCCCGTTCCTCGTCGCCACGACTGGGTTCGCACCGACATCCTGGTCAGAACGCATGCCGGGGGAGGACGGGGGAGTAGCCGTATCGGTACCCGCTTGTCCACCTGAGGACACCGACCAGGACCCCCAGGTCCCTGCCGCGGGTCCTGTCTTCTGCTTCTGGCCTGTCGCTTGCGACCATCCCTGGGTTGACGGCGCACTGCTGCTACTACATGCTGGCCTTCTTCGCATACTGGTTCGGCGCCGCCCGCTTCGACGTGAACGGAGACGGCGAGTTTGATGCGGCCGACGTGCAGCGCATGATCAACAACGTCGGGCGCCACCTGCGGTTCAGCTTCTCCCGGCCGGTTCCGCGGAGGCGCCGCCTGCGGGAGAGGCAGCGGAAGCAGGCCATGAAGGCCGAGAAGGAGCTGGAGGCGAAGAGGGAGCGCTACCAGGCTCACGTGGAGCATATGCGGGAGATCCGCGAGAAGGCGGACGTGGAGAGTGCAGGCCAGGGTGGCGCCAGGCGGCCAGCCATCTCGGCCAGGGCCGCGCTGGCGATGGCTGGCGAGCGTGCGGCATACGGCATTGACGTCGCTTTCGACAAGGGCGCACACGTGGTGCACGCGAACGTGGAGGGCGAGTGCGTTGAGTCGACGATCAAGGACAACCTGCGGCAGTACCTGCCCTGGTTTACCATCTCGCAGGTCTGTGCCTGCTTCGGGCTGTGGCTGGGGTACGCCCTGCAAACGAACCGGTACAGGGCCCTGGCTCAGCATGTGGCGTTGGATGAGTCGCTGCTGGTCGGCAACTTCTCGGGCATCCCCGGATACCAGTGCCAGATCGAGTGCAGCCGCTTGGGCGACGCCTGCTCTGCGGTGGCGTTCTTGGACGGGCCGGCCACGCAGTGCAAGCTGCTATCGTCGGTGCCAGAGGATATCAGATCTGGCGGGTGTCACGAGGGCGCCTGGAACTGGGTGCTCTCCGAGAAGCAGCCCAGGACATTCGGCGGCCTCCTCGGGACCATGGGCGGCCTCGAGACTGCTCTCCCTGGCCGGACGGTGCTGCAGAGCTACAGCTATTGCGATGAGGGCTTCAAGACTAGCATCTTGTGGAGGATTGTGTCGTACCAGTTTACCCACGGAGGTCTTGGGCACGTTGGCAGCAATTGTCTCATGCTCGTGTTCCTGGGGGTGCCTTTGGAAGGCTTTCATGGCACGGGGCTGACCGCTGTCATGTACACGGTCGGGGTCGTTGGTGGCGGTCTTGCTTGGATGCTCCTTGACCCTGACACGAAGGCGTATGGGGCGTCTGGCGGATGCTACGCGTTGCTTGGCATGCACCTTGCGGACTTGATCCTGAACTGGAGGCAAAAGAAATTCCGATATCCGATGGTCGTCATGCTTGCCGCCATCATAGGTGTCGAGACAGCCGGCTATATCTCCAGCGTCCAGGGAGACGCGTCGAACATCGCGCATTCGGCGCATGCCGGGGGCCTCGTGTCCGGACTGCTTATCGGCATGATGCTCACCCGCAACATAGACAAAAAGTGTTGGGAGCGGGCTCTCCAGGTCGTCGCCCTTTTCGCCTGCGTTGGGCTCGTCTGCTTCAGCTTGGCCTGGTGGTTTTCGAGTCCGCTCCCGGCTGTTCGCAGCCTCTGGAACGACGCCGAGGGGCCCCTGTGCTGGATAGGACAGGTGTGCACCAACGATGAAAACACGGAGTGCGACTTTGGCAAAGGGTGGCAGTGTGTGGCCTGTGCCACCCGGAAGTGTGTCGAGGACTGGTACATGGATGAGCTTCCCTACTGTGTCACGAGGGGGAGTGGGGCAGCGTGCGACGGCAATTTCGCCGACATCATCCACAACTGCCATAACTGCTGACCTTAGTGCTCACGTTGATGTCGGAAGCTCGGCCGACGCACCAACGGCATTGCTCGGTGGAGCGTGTGGCTCCTGTCGGCGGCGAGCCCAGGGGGGAAGTGAGAAGGGGTGGGCCTTGTCAGAAGGCTCGAAAGTTCCCCGGCCTTCTGATAGGTTTTCCGAGCCTTTCCCAAAGGCACAGAACACTCCTCAGAAGGCTGGAGCGCTTCTGAGAAGCCCCGCCGCCTTTGAGAGGGTCTTCTTCTTCTCACTCCTCCCCTCGCCCGCCGACGATCCTTAGATGCTCGTTTTTGGGACCTTCCTGGGGCCCACCTAGCCGATCTGTTCGACTCTAGTTCGACCCCAGTTCGACTCAAGTTCGACTCGAGTTCGACTCAAGTTCGACTCAGCTTCGACTGAGGTTCGACTCAAGGTCGGCTCAAATCGACGGACGTTCGACGCAGCGTCGACGCACGAGTGGAGCGAGTGTCTCTGGGAAGGTCCCCAGAATGAGCATCCAGCGATCCTGGCTTTACGGCGGGCGTGTCCCACTAGAGGAACAGTATATTTGATGATTATTCGCGCTCTTGCCTATATTTGATGACTTGTGGATTATTGTTCTCTTTTCTTCCAGAATCCGCCTGTAGGGAGGAGGGCATGCCCGACCTAATCCTGCCCCCAGCTTGCATACAAATTCGGTCGAGCCAGCAGAGCCGGCCGGGCCCGTTTTTCAGCGCTCCTCACCGTCGTGCCCTCCGCTTCCGCCTTCCCGCCGGCGGAGGAGTGGGAGAGGCGGAGCCGCCGCTTCCAGCAGGGCGGCCACCTCCAGCGAAGGGGGTCCGCGAATCCGTGCTGAAGGGAGGGGTTCTGATTCTCTTCCTCCTCCCTCCTCCCTCCTCCCTCCTCCCTCCTCGCTCCTCCCTCCTCCTTCCTCTCTCCTCCCTCCTCTCCTCCCTCCTCCCTCCTCCCTCCTCCCTCCTCCCTCCTCCCTCCCTCCTCCCTCCTCCTCCCTCCTCCCCTCCTCCTCCTCCTCCTCCTCCTGCCTCCTCCTCCTCCTCCTCCTCCTCCTACTCCCTCCTCCTCCTCCCCCCCTTCCTCCACCTCCTTATCCTCCTCCTCCTCCTCCTCCTCCTCCTTCTCCTCCTCCTCATCCTACCCCTTCCTCCACCTCCTCCTCCTCCTCCTGATCCTCCTTCTCCTCCTCCTCCTCCTCCTCCTCCTCCTCCTCCTGTGCCGGTTCAGATCCCCCTCGAACCAGCCATGAAAGGGCGGCTTTTGGCCCTGCCCCCCCGGAACTCTTCACGACAGCTCAAGTCAGACCTCCTCCGAGTCAGACCTCCCCCACTTAATATGACGGAATGGGGAGTGCCCGAGCTGGGGCACGGGGCAGGTCTCGAGCGAGAGGGATGGACCACATCACCAGGAGTGCTCTCCCTGGCACCTCGCGCTGGCGGGGATGGTGCCGACTTTGCTGGTAGGACATGGACGCCAACACCAGCACAGAGGGTTGCCTCCACCCGGGGACGATAATCCGAGATTTCGGTGGTGGTGGTGGTGGTGGTCGTAGTGGTGGTGGTGGTCTTCTTTCGGTCACCCAGGAAGCCCGAACATTGCTTCCATTGCCGAGGTCGGGATCACATTCCCTCGGTTGAGGCACGCCTCTGACTCTGATGCTGGAGTCAACCTCCAGGCCTCCGATCTTGGTCGTGGCACATGCCTGCCGCCGCCGATTCGCGACGAGGATCCACGACTTTGCGCTGACCAGGATCGACGGTGCCCAAGATCGAAGCGACGTCTCCGCGCTCAGTCTTGGTCATTTGGGCATGGTAATCGTTTTCTTTCCCTCAGAAGAGGATGATGGTGACGATGATGATGATGCTGATGATGATGATGCTGATGCTGATGATGCTGATGATGATGCTGATGGTGCTGTTGATGATGCTGCTGATGATGATGAGTATGATGATGCTGCTGCTGATGATGATACTGATGCTGATGAGGATGCTGTTGATGATGCTGATTATGTTGTTGATGATGGTGATGATGATAATGACGATGTTGTTGATGATGTTGATGATGTTGATAATGATGATGATGACGATGATGATGATGATGATGCTGCTGCTGATGATGATGATGATTCTGATGATGATGCTGATGATGATGATGATGAAGATGATGATGATGATGCTGATGATGATGATGATGATGATGATGATGATGATGATGAGGATGGGTGGTGGATGATGGTGACGATGAGGAGGAGGAGGAGGATGATGAAGGGGAGGAGGAGGAGGAGGAGGAGGAGGAGGAGGAGGAGGAGAAGGAGGAGGAGGAGGACGACGAGGAGGCGGAATAGGAAGATGAAGAGGAGCAGAAGGAGGAGGTCCCCGTTCTCTTCCCCTCCATTGGGCACCCTCCCTTCCCGCGCTTGAAGCGCCGCCCGCGCCCCACCCCCGCTCGCACAAGCTGCGCAGAGGGCAGGCGACGGTGCTCGTGCGGGCGGGGCCCCGAAAGGCCCGCTCGGGTGGCCTCTCTGCGCAGGCGTTCGCAGTGGGCAGCCCAGGCCTCAAGGTCGCACCCTGAGATCCGGGCGTTCCTCCCCCTCCTACTCCCCCTCCCCTTCCCCCTCCTCCTTCTTCCCTCCTCCTTCTTATTACTATTATTATTCTTCTTTTAAGAGTACGTATTGTTATTATTCTTCTTGTTTCGCCACCTCCTCCTTCTCCTCCTTCTCCGCCTCCTCCTCCTTTCTCGTCTTCGTCTTATTATTATTGTGATTAGTATTATTATTGTTATTAGTATTATTATTATTATTTCAATTATTATTATTATGTATTATTATTATTACTACTATTATTATTACTATTATTATGCGTTTTCTTCTTAGTCGTTTTTGTTATTCTGATTATTATTATTATTATTATCCTTTTCCTCCTCCTCCCACTTCTTTTTTTACCTTGGACAAGCGGTGGCTTGCTGTAGCCGTCACGTCTTCCCTTCTCCTCCTCCTCCTCCTTCTCCTCCTCCTCCTCCTCCTCCTCCTTCCCCTCCGCCTCCTCCTCCTCCTCCTCCTCCTCCTCCTCCTCTTCCTCCTCCTCCTCCTCCTCCTCTCTTTCTTTGACGTTGGACAAACGCTGGCTTGCTAGAGGCGTCGCGTCATCCTCCTCCTCCTCCTCCTCCTCCTCCCCCAGCCAAGGGTACGTGCGCTCCTCCTCCCCAGCCTCCCTCCTCCTCCTCCTCCTCCTCCTCCTCCTCCTCCTCCTCCCCAGCCTCCTCCTCCTCCTCCTCCTCCTCCTCCTCCTCCTCCTCCTCCTCCTCCTCCTCCTCTCCTATTCCCCTTCCTTCCCCTCCCCCTCCTCCTCCTCCTCCTCCTCCTCATCCTCCTCCTCCTCCTCCTCCTCCTCCTCCTCCTTTCCTCCTCCTGCCCTCCTCCTCCTCCCTCTCCTTCTCCTCCTCCTCCTCCTCCTCCTCCTCCTCCTCCTCCTCCCCCTCCTCCTCCTCCTCTCCCTCCTCCTTTTCCTCCTCCTGCGATTCTTGCACGCTGGGCGCTTGCGCCTGGAGTCGGGCCCCAGGACCATCGCAGATGAGGCGTTCCAGAAAGGGCATCGCTCTCGAGGATCGAAGGGGTCGGCATCCCTTCCTCGGCGGAGGGCGGCAGAAGGCCCGCGGAAGGCCGCGGAAGGCGGCGTAGGCAAAGCGGGGGCGGCTCGGTTTGCGGAAACGGGCGGAAGCCAGAGGAAGTAAGCATCTCCCCCCCAAGGGATGCCAACCATTTTTGGCCCAGGGTTTCTGGAGCAGTCCAGATGGATGCGGCTCGAACGCTGCAGCAGGAGGCTGGGGTCCAGGGCCCCCGTCGTAATCTTTGACGATGTTGCACTTTTTGCGACGTCGGATCTCAGGGTAGCCGATAAATTCTGGGGAGGTGGAGATGGATCGCGCGGGGCCCGGACCAGGACAAATCGTTCCAGAGCGTCCCAGAGCGTTTCCAGAACGTTATCAGAGCGTTCCAGCAGCGCTCTGGACCGGCCGCGGCGCCCGCTACATCCTCCTGAGCCGCCAGATCTCAGAGATTCTGGCTTTGTCCTGGTCCGATGTTGTCCCAGTCCTGGCTTTGTCTTGAAGGAGGAGGGCGACGACGATCGGCGCAGCCTGTAGCAGGAAGCCCGCGGCTCCACCGCTGCTGCTGCGCCAGCTTGCGCAAAGCGTGGCGTGGTTCCGTACACAAGCCCGCTCACATGCAGCGGGGATTTGACAATGGCCCGTGTGCTGCGCGGCCAGACGTTGTCAAAGCATGCGCAAAGCCGTTCGCATCAGGGGGTCCGACAGTGCCAGCGAGGCACGGTACTGTCTCCTGCCCGACCTTAACAAAACGCAGTTTGTCATGCTCTCCCATGTTTGCTACCTCTCCCGCTTCCTCTTGGGGTAAGGAAGTTCGGGGTTTGTCTTGGAAACCTGCTTGGGGCCAACTTTACAGATCGGGTAGACTCTATGTCGATTATCGTTCGACTTTAGCTCGAATCTAGCTCGGCCCAAATTAGACACAAGTTCGATTCAAGTCGACGAACTTTCGACGTAGCATCGACGCATGAGTGGAGCGAGGGGCTCCAGGAAAGTTCTCAGAGCAAGCATTCAAAGGAAGGATACGAAGCAGCTCACGAGCCAGTTGTGCGAGTCCAGATCATCAAATGGATGCGCCCAGGCGTATCTTCGCTTGCCGCTACGCGCAGAGACATGTCGATATATTGTGTATCTGTCGAAGGTGGCAATTCCGAGCATGCTCTACAGTCGGACCGAGGTATAAGATCGAGGTCGGTTCCGGGAGGGTGCGCTAATGTTATTCATGCTTGTTGGATGTTCTTGTGCACCCTGGGGAGGTTACCCTTGGATGTTCTGTGCGTTTTGGGTGGTGGAGGGTCTCGAGTTCTTGAAGGATGGTCTTCTGGCCGAGGTCCGACTGTATGATCGTCGCGTTAGTCGGCTGCTCCTCTTAGAGAAGGACAGCCATGCTCGTTCGTATGGTAGTTTCATTGTGATTTTGTCTCTGCCAGGCGTTGCACCGGTTGGGCATGTTCGGCGAGGCATTTAGCATTTCTCTCACCATCTCTTCTCTGCTCATTGCCGCCCTGCTTGCATCCTCTCATAAATATGTGGTTGTGGGTATGTGCGATTGTGGGAACGCATTTGCGTGTGTGCGTTCTTGCTCGTGTGCATGTTAGGCTGCGTGTGCGTGTTTGTTTGTTTGTGTGTGCGCGCGTGTGTGTGTGTGTGTGTGTGAGTCTGCCTGTCTGTCTGTCTGTCTGTCTGTCTGTCTGTATGTATGTATGTATGTATGTATGTATGTATGTCTGTCTGTCTGTCTGTCTGTCTGTCGGTGTGTGTGTCTGTCTGTCAGTCTGTCTGACTGTCTGTCTGTCTGTCTGTCCCTTGTCTGTCTGTCTGTCTGTCTGTCTGTCTGTCTGTCTGTCTGTCTGTCTGTCTGTCTCTTTCTCTCTCTCTCTCTCTCTATATATATATCTAGATATCACACTGTTGTGTGTTTTCTATCTCTCCCTCTGACGGTAACTTTTTATAGATACATAGATACACACGCTCTCTCTCTCTCTCTTTCTCATTACCTCTCTCTCTCCATCAGTCTCATTCGCTTCGGCCTTTCTTCAAGCAGCCCCCTCTCTTCAGGGCCTGCCGCGGTGACGGCGCTGGCTCCCAGAGGGCCCCACACCACGACCCCGTGCTCAGACGCTCAGCCCGGCACCGCACGACACACTCTGGAACCCACGCCATCGCTTTGCCAACCTCCGGCCACCCCGGGAGGAGGAGGAGGAGGAGGAGGAGGAGGAGGAGGAGGAGGAAGGCTACAGTCAACCCTGACAGTAAGGATAATCGACTCCCCACCGGTACCCTTGCACCCTTGCCTCTCAGGTCATCTTCAGTCCATCCTCAACCACTTTCGATGGCCAGCCCCGCTCGCACAGCCTCGGCATGGGCATCCGAGGCCCTTGCATCCTTGCCGCGCATCCTCATGATACGTGCTGACATCGTATGGGGCTACAGTCAGGAGCCATGGCTTGGCGTTCCGCTCCGCCGGCTCTGGCCCACCGCGCCTCGGTGGGACACGCCGTCCCCGTCCCCGTCCCCAAGGCGTCCACGTCCCGAGCCTTTCCTGGCCTCCCGCCCCGCCGAGCGGAGAGGCAGGCGATCCGCGCGCGGGGCACAGCGTGCCGCCCGGGCCGCCGCAGCGACGCGCTTCGAGCAGCAGCTCCCGACCGCAGTCTGTGGACGTCTTGGTCCTCGCGGGGTCGGCCCGCCCCTGGATGCCTTTCAGCGGCTGCGCCTCGCCGAGGGCCCGAAGCACCACCGGGGGCCCGAGTCATGGCCCGGGGCCGGCTCGGAGGAGGGCCCTCAGCGGCCCCGCCCTCCTCTTCGCTCCCACCCCCGCCGCGGCCTCGTTGGGCTCAGCCCATCTCCAGCCCAGCTGCCTGCGGCAACCACCGCCGCCCGGCAGGAGGGACTGACCGAGCTTGAAGTCACCGGGCGCGTCCCAGTAATTACTCGCAAAGTGCCTACTCGCAAACGTCCTGAAGCACATGTCTTCCTTTGTGTAGTGCATCGTAGACCCCCCGCGGCGGATCCAGGCCATTTGCGAATAGCTGCTCTGCGAGCAGTGGAGCGCGCTCGTCGATTACGAGGCCTGCTTTGGCTCGGTGCTCTGGCTGAGCCGGCGCGGGTCTCGAGTCGGCATCGCCCGAGCCTTTGCCGTAGTACGTGTGCGCCAGCCCCCTCTCAGGGGGCGACGCGTGCGCTCAGAGCTCTTTTCGTACGTGCTCGGCGGCGGCCGCTCTCTGGCCATACCGCCTGGGTAACGATATATTACGGTGGGGGCGTTCGTTGAGGAATCTGCCCAGGTGGCTGTAGCCCCTGGAGGATTCCCTATCTGATGAGGGCGAGGTGATGTCCGTGGCCCATCCACGCTTGGAGTTCCATCGGCTTGCAGACCCTAGATTCCTTATTTCAGGGTTCCTGATCCCATGCCCCCATCGTGTTGCAATATGTTTGTGCTAAGTGTTCGACTCGGGCGTGCGCTTCCAATGGGTGGCGCGTAGTACTTAGGCTGTCCTTCTGCGTCCCGCTGGGCGCCTCTCCGGTCATGAACTTTGGCTCAGCGTGTCGTTCCGCCAGTTCTGGCCAACCACGCTTCGGCGCGACACGCTATGCACCGCCTAGGCCCCAGGCGTCCACGTCCCGAGCTTTTCCCGGCCCCCCACCCCTCGGAGCGGAGCGACACGCTAGCGTCCCAAAGACACGGTCATTGGTGAGCCCAGGTCGCCGTTCCACTTTCTGCCGTGTCCTCCATGCCGTCTACTACCCAAGTCTTTCGGCACTCGCGAGCCCTTCACTGCGTTCCTGCCCCCCTGTGGCCACGACCGCGTACATGATTATAGACATGCGTATGTGTACACGTAGATCGGTACATATGTATGCGCATGCATGGATATATGTACACATGTATCTGATTATCTGTATATTCATATACGAACACATATGCATATGATCTAGAAGTGTACGTACATCCATATACCCCACACACAGGGGCGTGTACATGTCTACACGTATGTGTATATATATATGTATACACATACACACGCACTTATGTGTCTATATATGTATGGCGCGCATGCGCGTGCGCGCGTATGGCATGTATGCACACATTCGCGCGCGCATGTGCACGCGAACGCACGCCGCCCGCGTGCGAAACTCGAAGGCCCAAGGTGCATGGCGCGAAGATCCACTCCAGTCTTGTATATATATATATGTGTGTGTGGGCCTATTGAATGATAGGTGTGTAGCACTATGCACACGCCGACCTCTGTGTGTGTACGCACACGCACACATCTTCACTTGTGTGGGTAGGTGCACAGACCTTTCCGCCGTCCTGGCCGTCCGCGCGCCCGCCTCCCTCCTCTCCCTAGATCAGAAGCCTGTGGAAGCAGCTCGTGCCAGAGGTCGACGGCGTGTCGGTGGGCTACCTGTCCTTCGGGCCCGCCCGCCGCCCTCACGCGGCCGCCGCGTGCCTCCCCCCGGGGCCGACGAGACCGGTCGACGACGACGACGACGACGATCAACGACGACGACGACGATGGCGGCGACCATTAACGACGACAAGGATTAACGACGACGACGATTAACGACGACGACGATTAACGACGACGGCGACGACGACGACGACGACAACGACGACGACGACGATCCGGACGTCGCAATTCGCCAAGCGTTTTCGCCAGGTTTCGGGCTTCAGGTCCCTCACGGGTCGATCTGAGTCAACAGCATGCCGCAGGAAGATGAGGTCTACGGCTCTGTTCGTGATTTTGGTCGCGGTGTCTCAGTTCTTTTTCGCCGAAGGGGTGAGGACTGCAGTCAGTGCGCTAAGGTGAGAACCCGCTTTGGGCTCATGCGGGGTTCTGCTTTTCGGGCCATTCCGAAGGCCGAGGTCGGGGAACGTGCTCGTGCCCGAGGCTCACCACGGCCAGAGACGCCCCTTCGATGCCTATTCAGCGCTCGGTGTGGTAGCCTGATGACTGTAGGGGTGTGTGTGTGGGTGTGTGTGTGTGCGTGGATGTCATGGTCGGAACCATGCGGATCTTCCAGAGGTCATGCTTGTTCTCTTCTATCCCATGGCCTCCCCCTCTTCGTTCGTGCACATGCCCAGGGCCATGATGAGCTGACCCCCTTCTTCCGAGCCCCCCTCTTCGGCACACCCTCCCGAAAGAGGAGAGGGGAGGCGCAGTTCACCCCTGCTAGGGGCACCGGTTCTGCCCAGGTTTGACGCCACCCAAGCATAATAATACTATGTGTGCGCCGCCCCCAAGGGGCGACGCGCGCGCCGAGCAATCTTATAGTAGAAACTACGTGGCGGGCGCTTTCTGGCCATATCGCTCTGGAAACGATATACTGCAAGATGGCTATGCTATATGTTCGGGTCGGACGCGCGCCTCTAGTACCAGTATGTCCTTGTGCGTCCCATGGGACGGCAACGGATGTGGGACGGAGTCTCAGCGGATCGAGACCCTGGGCGAGAGTTTCAGGAGTTGCCTTCGAGCCCTCCCTTCCCCCCCAGCCAGGGCCCCCTTCGATTCGATCGATTCGACGTCGAGCTCATCCGGCTCGATCGGATTCGATTTCGATGCCCACTGCGATCCGATGTGGGCCGATCGCACGGAGCTGTTGTTCCTCCCGGTGCCGCCGCTCCGATGCGAGATTCCTGTGCCGTGCCGCTGTGGCCCGACCCGACGCTCGTTCCGATTCGATTCCCGATTCCCGATCCGATCCTGATTGGTCTTGCCCCTCCTCCTCTCTCCTCTCTCCCCCTCCGCCTCTCTCCCCCTCCTCCTCCTGCTCCTCCTCCTCCTCTCTCCTCCTCCTCATCCTCCTCCTCTCCCCTCCTCCTCCTCCTCTCCTCTCCTCCTCCTCCTCTCCTCCTCCTCCTCCTTTCTCCTCCCTCTCCCTCCTCCTCCTCCTCCTCTCCTCCTCTCCCTCCCTCCTCCCTCCCTCCTCCTCCCTCCTCCCTCCTCCTCCCTCCTCCCTCGCCCTCTCCCTCCTCCTCTCCTCCCCTCTCCTCCTCCCTCTCCCTCCTCCTCTCCTCCTCCCTCTCCCTCTCCCTCCTCCTCTCTCCCTCCTCCTCCCTCCTCCTCCCTCCTCCTCCCAGCGTCCGTGACGGCGGCCCGCGGGGCGCGGGGCCGAAGCCGCGGCGCCCGCGCCCGCCAGCGACCTGGACCCCAAGACGGACGCGGCCGTCACAGAGCTGCGGGACTTTTGGCCCCCGCGGCCTTCGCCGAGGGTCAAGCAGGAGGAGGAGGAGGAGGAGGAGGAGGAGGTCGCCGAGGGTCGAGCAGTGGCGAAGCGTCCTGGCGTGCCTCTATCTTTCTTTCTCCGAGGGTCCGAGGGTCCGAGGGTCTGGAGGGGGGCCCCCTCCCTCCCCTCCGTCCCCCAGCCCTCATCGTTTGTCCCCTTTGCCCTGTCCCCCTTCCCCCTCGTCCTGAGATCCCCCACCTCCGTTGCGAAGCGTCCTGGCGTGCCTGCAGTTCCACCAAAGGATGTTCCGAGAGCCTCTTGTGGTCTGCGCGAGCTCTTCTTCGAACATGTCTGGCTGAGACTGTCTTGCTTCAGCACGTCGGGCTAGCGTTTTGAGAACATTGTCAAGGGCGCCCTCGAGGGCGCGAAGTTGTTCGCGCTTCGCGCTTCGCGGTTCGGCTCCGATTCCTCCTCATCCTCTCCTTCTCCCCTGGGAGGCGGCGCGAGAGCGCGAAGTTGTTCGCACTTCGCGCTCTCGCGCAGCGCGAAGCGCGAAGTTGGGAGCCCTTGACTGCTTTTGTTCTTAGAAAGTTTATGGGTCCTAAGAACACTTCGTGGTAGGACTGGCGTGCCTCTAGTCTTATGTCAGGCGTGTACCCCAACAGGGGGATTTTCGACGAAAAGTAGAACAGACTCAATCTTGTCCCACCAAAGAATGTTCTTAGAACATTTCTGGCTGAGACTGTCTTGTTTTAACACATCGGGTTAGTGTTCTAAGAACATTGTTTTTGTCCTTAGAGCGTTTTTGGGTTCCAAGAACACTTCGTGGCAGGACTACACGAGGGCCGGGACGGCCGGCCCCTGCTCAAAGGGGGGGGGCAGGGGGCGAGGGCCGGCGCTCCGTCGTGGACCCTTTCGACGGTCCAGCAGGGTCCATTTCGACACGATGGATGCGATACCAGAGATCCGACGCTCCAAAACGATGGCCCCCCAACCAGGGCCGCCGGGCCTCGGGAGCGTTGACAAAAACGACTCGGGGTGAACAGCGGGCCCTGGGGAAGTGGTCGGGACCTCCGGGGGCCACGCATCGAAAGAACTGGAACAGCCAGATGTCTGGGATTCGATCGAGTCAACCCGCATGGTAGGGATGGCCACGTTCCCAAGGATACCCTTGCGTCCTTGCCTCCTCGGTCCATCCTTGGCAACTTTCGTTGGCCGCGCCCCACTCGAAAAGCTTCGAAATGGGCGTCAAAGGGCATTGCATCCTTATCGTGCGTCCTTATGATATGGGTCGACTGTATCGATTCCGGCCAGCCCGATCCGATTCGATTCAGATATTCCGACGATCCGATGCGGCCCGATGCTTGCTTGCATGGCGCTATAGTGCCCCCTGGCGCAGCCGATCCGATTTGATTCCGACCTCCATGCCGATGCAGCCCGATCCGATGCAGATTTCGATGCGATCCAATTTGCCGATTCGATGAATACTGATCCTGCTCTGTTCCCTTCTCCTTCGCGAGGCGTCCTTCTCGAGAAGCTGACGCTGTCGGCACCGGAATCCCACGAGACGCTGCCATGCTGCCATCCCCCCCAAGGGGCTTTCGCCCACTGGGGTCATGGTGATCAAGCCAGTTTGGCGATTTGCAACGACGACGAGACACCGAGGACGCTCATCTCCAGCTGGAGGCGCCGCCGACCGCGGCAAGAGTGGAGCAGAGAAGTGGGTAAAGCTGACGGTTCGCGTAGCTATTCCTCTGCGCCCTTCCCCCCCCCTGAGGCTGCGTCGACGTCGACATCGACGGCGACCTCCTCGATAATCAGGCTCATCCCGACCTCGGGGATGTTGGCGTTTTCCGAGCGCATCAAGGCACGGGAGCAGGCGGCCAAACCGTCCTCTTAATGATGCTGCTGCTGTTTTTTCAGTTATGTTCTGCCTCGCCCCCCCCATGAATCCTCCACGTGCGCGGAAGTGGCAGTTTTCTGCGGCGCCCCCCACGCATCTTTCTCCCTTGCGAGGAGAAGAAAATAGCGCTCTCGTCAGCCTGCGCGTCCTGCCGGATGCTTGGCCTCCTGCTGCTGCAGGATGTGCAGCGCAGAGGGGGCCGCGAAGGGCGCAGGGAAAGCCCCCAGTGGGGTGCCAAGGAACTAGGCCCCCGTGGCCGCCCATGGGGGGGGGGGGGGGCAGGCCGAGAGACGAGACGGCGGGGGCGGCGCAGCGGCTAACCACGTGGGCTGATGGGCTCGTTTTCCACCGCCACCGGCATGAGTTGGAGGGGGAGGGGGTCCTCCAACTCCTCTTTCTCGTCCTCCTCCTTCTCGTCCTCCACCTCGTTCCCCCCTCCAAGTAATGGTGGCGGTGGTGGTGGAATGCAGGCCCATCGTGGGCGACGCGAGATATCGGGATTGTCTGCGATGGCATTGGCGCGTAAGCTGCCCGAGTGAGGTTGCGCGCGAGCGCCCTCGTCTCCGACGCGGCGTGCCGCGCTGGTGGCCCGCGTAGGCTGCGGCGGGAGGTCGCCGTGCCATCTCGCCCAGGACCAGTTTTGATCGTCGTTCGCATGGAGGGAAGAGGAAGAGGAGGAGGAGGACGAGGAGGAGGAGGAGGAAGAGGAGGAGGAAGAGCAGGAGGAGGGGGAGGAGTGCAGGCAAGCGACGCAAAGCGACAGGGAGACGTTATTGATGAGGAAAAGGAATAGAAGAGGAGGAGGAGGACGACGACGAAGAGGAGTGGGAGGACGAGGAGAAGACACCGTCAGATGGCCAATTCACTGCCACGCGCAAGCCCTGGGGAAACAAATAAGAGCACAAACATAAACTCGGAGGTCCGCGCGGATTCATCGGATCGGCGCTGGAGGGCAGGCGAGCGACGCAAAGCGCTAGCAGGGGCAGGTGGGCTAAGGGGTGGGTCTCGGGGAGCAGTTTTTGAGCCAGCGGCCGCAAAGGATTGGACGGCGTTCGAGCAGCGGCGGGGCGCGCCGGTGCGAGTTGGGGCACGAGGCGACGGGGGCGCGGGGGGAGAGGGCCAGAGGGCGGGGACCTCCGACTTTTTACGTAAGCCATTCTTTGTTCCCCAAAACTCTTGCGGTTCTCCCCCGCCCGCCCTCCTCTGACCCCCTCCCCCAGCGCCCCCGTCACCTCGTGCCCCAACTCGCACTGGTGCGCCCCGCCGCTGCTCGAACGCCGTCCGATCCCCTGCGGCCGCTGGCTCCGAAAAGTGTTTCTTGAGACTCAGTCCTTAGCCCACCTGTCCCTGCTAGCGCTTTGCGTCGCTCGCCTGCCCTCCAGCGCCGATCCGATGAATCCGCGCGGACCTCCGAGTTTATGTTTGTGCCCTTGTTTGTTTCCCCAGGGCTTGCGCATGGCAGTGAATTGGCCATGTGAGGGTGTGTTCTCCTCGTCCTCCTCCTTCTCTTCGTCGTCGTCCTCCTCTTCCTCCTCCTCTTCTATTCCTTTCCGTTATCAGTAACTTCTCCCTGTCGCACCCCGAGGCCAGTTTTAAGGCGGGCCGGGCTTTTCGCTTGAGACTTCGTCACCATGTATATGGCCTCGAAGCTAAAACATTGGCAGCAATTTCGCGGATTGAGTGCGGGTGGTTTTCAAAATGTGGCTCTCGCCGTAGTGCCGCCCGCATTCGTTCTCATCATTTACATGGGCTTCGCGGATTGAGGGCGAGTCGTTTTCAAAATGTAGTTCTCGCTTTAGCGCCGCGCACAATCGTTCTGAACAATCGAAGAGCTTCACGGACTGAGGGCGGGTGGTTTAAAACATGTGGTTCTCGCATTCGCGCGGTGCGTACTCGTTCAAAAGATTGCAAGAGCTTCGCGGATTGAGGGCGGGTGATTTTCAACAGGTGGTTCTCGCCATAGCGCGGCGCGCATTCCTTTCTACACTCTGTAAGAGTTTCACGGGTTCCCATCATGCGCGTACCAGAAATTGTGTTTTGGAAGAATTGAGGATTATGTGGGCGCAATAGTTACGTTGATTCTCTTTGTTGAAGTCCTAGGAACGGCGTTCTGGCACGATTCAGGATTGTCAAAACGTAAAAGTCCGCTTGGTCCGTGGCGTTGGAATCCCGAGAACAGTGGTTTCGCATGCTTCAGGGTCTTCATACGGGTGCCTTCCAACGAGGCCAGGGCCGTGCGCGCGGAGTGCCCCTGGCAAATTTCACGACCGTGCGTTTTCACAGCGGGTGTTCTGTCAATTTTCGATCCTTCGGAGCTCCAGTTCTCGAGCGAAACCACGGTGGACAAAAACACAGTGGAACAAAAACACGGGGGAAAATTTCGTTTTTCTCCACAGCGCTGTTTCCACAACTCCAGCTCTCGAAGCTCCGCGCGGGCTTCTTGGAGCGGCGCCGGGCCCCGCTGGCGGCGCCTCTCGGGCGCCGCCCCCGGGGCACGTTCCGCGCGCCACCGGCAGAGGGTCCCAGCGCGGAGACGTGAGGAAGCCGCGCGGGGCTCCCTTTAAGTCGGGCGTGTCCCTCTACAGGGGGGTTGTTCAAAGATAGGTAAAACAACAAGTAAGGGGACGATGTTTTCTGTGACTATGTTGGAATATTGTTGTTGGATGTGTTTTATTTTTCGTTCGAAATCCGCCTGTAGGAGGACACGCCCGACCTGAAACTCCCCGCGTGTGCGTGGTTGTGTGGTTTTCCTCGTCGATTTTCCTTGGCGGTGCACAGAAGGGGGGAGGGGGAGGGGGAGCAGGGAAGGCTTTTGAGAAGGAGGCTGCTTCTCAGAAGGCGCGGCCCTTACATCTACAGAGTAGGCCCGCGGCTTCTGAGAAGCAGGGGTGCTTCCAAGAAGCCTTCCCCCCCTCCCCCTGCCCCCCTCCGCGCGTGGCTGATTTCCGCCCTGTGAGAATGGCCGAGCCTTGGAGTCGGATGGGGGTCTGAGGTGGCCCAGCGCTGGTTCCTGCCAGCAGGAAGGGCGGGCAGGTTTGAAGTACTGGGCGTGGGAACTAGGGGCAGTTTTCGGGCACCGGGACTAGCAAAAAAGGATGCGGGGTGGAAAACGGGACCGATTTGGAGCGGAGTTGGTCTCCGCCCCCCCCTTCCTGACTGATTTTTTCTAGGGTCCCAACGTTCAGCTCCCGCAGCCGCCTCCAAGAGAGAGAGAGGGAGGGAATGAGGAGAGGGAGTGAGTGAGGGGAGAGGTGAAGGGGAGGGGAGGACGGGGAGGGGCAGGAGGAGGGAGGAGAAGGGAATGGATGTGGAGGGTCGCGGACAGGGCCGCAACGAGACAGACAAGGTCCCTCGAGGATGCAACAGTAAGGAAACAGGAGTGAGGAGGAGGGAGTGGATTTGGAGCAGAAGGCGGGGGTTGAGCGGCGGCTTGCAGCTTGCTAGGCCCTCCTGTGCCTCGGGGCTCCAGCCAGCAGCCAGGGCGGCCCTCGCGCCGGGCAGGCTGGCCCTGCTCCCAGGCGCTCCCCGGCGGCACCCGCAGGAAAAGCTCAGCGCGAAGTATGGCAACATGCTCAGGGCTTGGATGAAGGCCGCCTCCATCCGCCCCCTCCCCCCGCTGCCACGCATCGGCGCGCGCGCGCCGCACGCGCGGAGCCAGTCCTCTTCTTATTGTTTTTCTTTTCGTTCATATTATCATTATTTCTCTTATTCCTCTTCCTATTCCTCCTCCTCCTCCTCCTCCTCCTTCTCCTCCTGCTCCTCCTCCTCTCGACAATTATTCAAGCAACTACTCGATATGGGTTAGTCTCTTTTCTCTCTCCCCGGATCCTGTCCGAGCTGGACAGCTGTTCTCCCCCGTACTGTTTCTACACAAGGCGCAGGAATTCAAAAAGTGATCGTTTGCATGTTGTTTTCCTTGCAGACGTCTTCGCTTCCGTTGCAGCGTTGGCACCATTTCAGGATCGGTGTTTTGCTCCAGTCGTACAGACTGGCGCTCTCGCCCCAGCCTGCGCCACATCTATGGATCCCATTCCTTCGTTGTTGCCGACCCCTCCTTTCCTCTCTTCCGCCTTCCCCTGGTTCATCTGCTCCTCCCGCTCCTCCTGCTCCTGTTCCTGCTCCTGCTACATACTGCTGCTGCTTCTGCTCGCCTCCCCCTTCTTCATCCTTCCCTCTCTCCTGCGCATCCCCATGCTCGTCCGCCGCCTCCTGCTGCTGCTGCTCCTCTCCATCCTTCTGCAATGTACACGGCTCTCCTTTCTGATTGCGCATCCACACGTTGAGGCCATTTGCGGGATTCAGGTCTGCTAGGACAGCCTCAGCCGGACAGAGAAAATCAGCGCAACGGGAAGGGAAGGGTGGAAGGGGTAAAATGTCATATTCGCTCGTGCCTAGCTTGATATGGGTACGGTCTATCCGCAGATCCTGCCCGAGCGGGGCATTTTGCCTTCCGCGTGTTCTCATCGCGCACAGGATGTCAAACGTTGATCTTTTTTGTTGTGTTTGTTTTTTTCCACTCAGGACGTCTTCGGTCTTTCAAACCCGTGCTCCCGCTGCAGCGTTGCCCCCATGTTAGGATCGTTTCTTTGCTGTAGGCTTAAGTCGGGCCTGTCCCTCTACATGGGGAATATATCGTCAGGGGGCTATTTTTTTGAATATGTGTTGGCCATTTTGGAGCATTTGTTGAGTGTTTTTTATTTTTCGTCGAAAATCCCCCTGTAGGGGGACACGCCCGACTTAACTGTAGGCGTTATGAACGGCGGCGGTCTTGCCCCAGCGCGGGTCACATCTATGGATCCTATTCCTTCCTCTTCGTTGTCGCATCCTCCTTTTTCCTCAGGAGGAGGAGGAGGAGGGGGAGGAGGAGCTCCGCCTTCTCCTGGCCCTCCTGCTCTTCCCGCTTTCTGGCAGAGTCGGCCTGGGGCAATCTTGCAGGGTTGTCCTGTTCCCTCCGCTCCTCCCGCTCCTGCTCCTGCTGCTGCTGCGCCTCCTAAGTCCTCATGCCTCCGCGTCCTTCCCTTCCTCTGGTTCATCGTCATGCTCATCCGCCTCCTCTTCTTCGCCCTCCACTGCACAGAGCTATCATTTTTAGGTAGCACATCACGCGATAGGGGTCGCGTTAGGGATCCAGGTCCGCTAGGGCAGCCATTGGCGGGAAGAGAAATTATAGTGTATTGGGAAGGGAAGGGACGGGTGGAAGGGCCCGCGCGCTTAGCTTGCCTCGTCCTCCCTCCTCCTCTTTCTTGCCTCGTCCTCCCTCCTCTTCTTCCTCTCTCCTCTTCTTCCTCTCTCCTCCTCGTCCTCTCTCCTCTGCCGCCTCTTTCCCCTCTCCTATGTCTCACCCCTTCCTCTCTCTCTCCTTCTCCTCCTCCTCGTCCTCGTCGTCATCATCATCACCATCATCATCATCATCATCATCATCATCATCAGCATCATCATCATTATCATCAGCACCACCACCATCATCATCATCATCATCAGCATAATCATCATAGTCATCGTCATCTGCAGTATCATCATCAGCACTATCGTCATCATCATCATCATCACCACCACCACCACCATCATCATCATCATCATCATCATCATCATCGTCATCATCATCATCATCATCATCATCATCATCAGCATCATCATCATCATCATCATCATCGCCATCATCGTCATCATCATCATCATCAGCAGCACCATCAGCATCATCATCTCCTCCGCCTCCTCATCTCCTCCTCTCCCCGCTCCTCTCTTCTCCCTTTGTTCTCCCTCCTCTCTCCTACCGCGTCCCTCCATTCGTTTTCCCCCCCACCTTGGTCTTCCTCTTTCCTCTTCCCCCGCCCTCCCTCCCCTCTCCCTCCCCCCTCTCCCCCCTCTCCTCTCTGATGGGCCCCCTCTCTCCTCCTCGACCCGCTCCTCCCCTCCCCTGACCGTGCACAGCGGTGCCTTCGACCCCCTCGGGCGTGCTCTTTCTGCACGCGCCCACAAGCAGGATCTCATAATTTTGTCTGCCACCCATTTTTTTCGGATGCGCTCCCCTCCCGCCCCCCCGTTCGGCCGTCCTCTCTGCTTTGTCCCCTCCTCCTGCATGGTGGCACCATTCGCCACAGCGGTACTCCCGCTTAGGTAACCCTCCACCAGCGCAGTTGCTCTGCCTACTCCAGATCTTTCAATCAGCCCCCCCCCGTGCCAACCTGTCCGACGCCCTTGCCCGCCCCCCACGCGCCCCAAACCCACCCCCTCTCGCTCCCCAACCTCCCCACGCCCCCCGAAGGACAGCGGTTTCCCACCCCCCCACGCAATCCACCCCCCCCACGCTTACTGAGAGACCTGGAGCATCCTCCGACGCAACAGGTTTTGTCGTATGCCTCGTCTTCTCTCCTCCCTCCTGCACGGCGGACAGTGCGCCTTCCGCCTGCCCCGATTCGCCTCACGCTGCAGCGGGCTGCCTCTGGCTCGCCGCCGACGGGACAAGCTGCTTCCTTCGGGGACGCTCCTGTACTGGCACGTCTACCCTCCTCCTCCTCCTCCTCCTCCCTCCTCCTCCTCCTCCTCCTCCTACCCGTCCTACCCGTCCTCCTCCTCCTCCTCCTCCTCCTCCTCCTCTCCTCCTCCTCCTCCTCTCTCCTCCTCCTCCTCCTCCTCGCCTCTGCGCTCGTCTGCCCCCTCGTGCCCCGCGTGGCCCCGGCACGCGCCTCCCGCCTCCGCTCTCGCCTGCCGCCTGCGGCCCCTGACCCAGCAAGTTTCTTCGCTCGGAGCCTTCCTGGCCCTTCAAGAGCTCGGCCACGCGCAGAGGGGGGGGGGGGGGGGGGGGGGGGGGGGGGAGGGCTTCTTAGCAGCGCCCTTGCTCAGACGGCGCGGGCCCTGCCCGTGGATGCGAGGCCGCCGCGCCTTCTGAGAAGCAGCCTCCTTCTGCGAAGCCTTCCCCCCCTCCCCCTGCCCCCTCGCGCGCGCCGCCAAGTTCGGAATCTTCTCGGCTCTTCAAACGCGGTGCTTCGGTGGCAATTCATGGGAGCCTGGTGTACCCTCAGAGTTCTGTCTTGGCGTCGGTTAGCGTCGATCAGCGTCTGGAGTCGATGAGGTAGCGCCGATTTGGCGTCGGCTAGCGTCGATTTAGCGTCGATCTAGCGTCGATTAGCGTCGATTTAGCGACGATCTAGCGTCGATTCGCGTGTGCTCGCAAGAGCCGACAAGATGGTACGGGAGGCACCCGTGAGCTGCCCCCGAACGGTGTTCTCGCTGCAGCGTTGGCCACAGTCTGACCGCTTTGCGGATCGGAAGGGCGGCCGGAGACGGCGCTGTTGCGATCGTAGGCGATCGGGATGTTTTTTTGGGCCAGTCTGCGGTCCGGCACGGGCCGTCGATGCGCTTGAGCCAAGGGCGCCCTCGAGGGCGCGAAGTTATTCGCGCTTCGCGGTTCGGCTCCGATTCCTCCTCATGCTCCTCTTCTCCCCTGGGAGGCGGCGCGAGAGCGCGACGTTATTCGCGCTTCGCGCAGCGCGAAGCGCGAAGTTGGGAGCCCTTGTTGAGCCGTAGTTTCGGGAGTTGCGAGAAGTGCCCCTGGCCCAAGGTACCCCCAGCTTTTCGCTCCATTTTGGAGCCCCTGGGAGCCTCTGGGCCTCGTGATGGAGGCCGCCCGGGCCACCCCGAGAACCCTGGGGGTACTTTGGGCCAGGGGTACTTCTAGCAACACCCGATAGTTCCAGCCAGCAAGTATAGGGGAACAAAAAGTGAAATCAAGTGGCACGTGTGCCATGGCTCTTGCACAAAAAGGAAGAGGGAGGATCGGAGGGGTGTGCCGTGCCGAAATAAAATGGGTCGGGGCGGAGGGGTGCGCTGGCTTGTGAGTGGGTGGGTGCGTGGGGGGGCGTAATAAAAGGGGTCGGGGCGGAGGGGCGCGCTGGCTGGTGGGTGTGGGGGGATGCGGAGGGGGCGCGCGGGGAGGGAGTGGGGGCGTGCCGAAATAAAGGGGTCGCAGGGCGGAGGGGGCGCGCTGGCTGGTAAGTCCTTACAGTAAATCCGAGGATGCGGGGGGGGTGCCGTGCCGTAATAAAGGAGTCGGGGCGGAGGGGCGCGCTGGCTGGTGTGTGGGGGGATGCGGAGGGGGTGTGCCGTGCTGAAATAAAAAAGGGATCGGGCGGCGGATGTGTGTTTGCCGTGCCGAAATAAAGGGGGTCGGGCGGAGGGGTGTTGGCGTCGCGGAATAAAGGGGTCGGGGCGGAGGGGCGCGCTGACTGGTGGGGTGGGGGGGGAGGGATGCTGAGGGGGTGATGCCGTGCGAAATAAAGGGTTCGGGGCGGAGGGCGCGCTGGCTGGTGGGTGGGGGAGATGCGGAGGGGGTGTGCCGTGCCGAAATAGAGGGGTCGGGGCGGAGGGGTGTGCCGTGCGGAAAGAAAGGAGTCGGGGCGGTGGGGGCGCGCGGGGGGGGGGGGGGGAGGTGCCGAAATAAAAACAGGGTCGGGGGGGCGGAGGGCTGCGCTGGCTAGTGGGTGGGGGGATGCAGGTGGGTGCCGGCCGAAGTCAAGGTGTCGGGGCGAGGGGCGCGATGGGCTGGTGGGTGGCGGGGGCTAGGAGCGGAGGCGGTGTGCCTGGACCCGA